GATAATTTTTATTTTTAAAATACAAAAATAAATAGTATTTATTTAATGCTGGACCTTGAGAATATCATGCTAAGCAAAGTAAGTCAGACTGAAAAAGTTAAGAACCATATGATTTCACTCATATGTACCATATAAAGCTGAGAGCAATAAATGAACAAATAAGAAAAACAAACAAACAAAAACTCATAGACATAGAAAACAGTAGGGTGGTTTCCATAGGGAAGAGGGTGAGAGGGGTAGTAAAGGCTAAAGGGGGTCAAATATATGGTGGCAAAATATAATTTGACTTTGGGTAGTGGGCACACGATACAATATGCAGGTCACATATCATAGAAATGTACATTTGAAACTTAATATAATCTTACTAGCAGTGTCACCCCAATAAATTTAACTTTAAAAGATGTTATTGAAAAAAAAGGAGGAACATGGAAGGCTATTCTTTTTCACGTTCTTTTTTTATTTATTGGGGTGATATTTGTTAAAATATTAAATGGACTTCATTTAATTTTTATTTTGTGTAAAAGTCCTGTGTTGAATGTAATTTTCAATTTTCAGTTCTCTGAGGACACTATCCCTACTGCTGCATGTTTCAGGATCCTTGCCAAAAGATTACATGAAAGATTCATTAATGACTTTGAAACCTAATTCACCTAGGACTAGTGTTTATTCACTTGAGCATGCTTGGCACATAAAACAAACATCAATTTTGTTGTAAAACATTCCCATTTTTTGGTAGGAAGATACAAACATCATGTCTATCTAAACAAGAGAGTTCCTGATATTTCCTCAGACCTTGGAGTAGCAATTACATTTTACAATAATGCAAGTTTCTGGGCAGGAAAATATTGGCCACACGATAGAAATGACATGATCAGATAAATCAGTGTCATCCAGGAACTACCCGTTAGGTGAGTATAGTCCAGAGAAACAGTGACCAGAAGTCCACATACCAGCTTATGCAAATATAAGCTTCATCCTTCCAACCCTGAGGGTTCTTGGGGATAAATAATCAGCTGAAACCACTATATCTGTAGTTTTTCAGAGGCTTAGAAAATTTTCTAAGAGATGTGAATAGTTAATTAAATGATGGTGAAAGAAACGAGTTCATAATTTTAAATTGATTAAAAACTTTGAGATGACAGTAGTGGGGTGGGGGAAAATTATGGGGTAGAGGGATTGAGCAAAAAAGAAAAAGAACTCATGGACATGGACAACAGTGTGGTTATTGTTGGGGGAAGGAAGGTGTAAGGGGTCTAAATTGTAATGGAAAATACAGTAAAGATTACATTACAAAAAGACTTTGATGGGGCTGGGTTTATGCATGAATAGCAGGACACCTAAAAATAGGTGAAATGAGGGACTTCTAGAAAAAACCTTGAATTGGAATTTATCTCCTGATATATTTAAGATACCTACAATCTTGAAAAAAACTGCACTAATAGAAGAGCTGTGACTTGTCAAGGACAGTTTGCTCTCAGCAGATCCCTGTCCTTCTTTCTCCTTTCTGGGGTCTATTTCCAGAGTCAGCTCCCACTTGCTAGCAATGTGACTCACAGCTAATGGTTCAAGAAGGGGAAGGAGTTTGCAGGAAAAAGTGAGATCTGTGTTCTTTGGTAGCTGTCTGGGCTTCCACCCAACCTGGTTCTGCTGAGCTCACATGCTATGAAGGTTTGGGAAAATAAAGTAAACTAAATTTGAAAAAAAACACCCCAAAATGTTCAGTTCTCTAAAAGACAAAAGAAGTAAATAGATATCAAATGATAGTGTCTATTTTTCAAGATATTTAGAAACAAAGACATGAAGCTTTCAGACTTGTGTAAGGCACCAATGAAATGTCTTAAGAATGAAAAAAAGAGGCAGGTGGGTTGCATATAATTCTTTCTTATATCTCCAGTTTATTATTTTATTTAATTATTTTAAGTGCTTAGTCTATTGTTAATATTTATTTAATTATTGTTACTTTTGTGATGCTCACATTCTTGAAAGTGCTCTCACCTTGTTCTAAAACATTGAACCAGGGTCAGTTTTTTGTGTCTTTAAAGAAGATTGTAAACTTTGAAAGATTTACTATGAGAAGTGGGTAGATGGTGAGTAGAGAGTATCTCCCACTTCTGAAGAAAAGGAATATTTTCAAGCAATCAAGTGAGACCTTCATACACCCAGTTAATTGAAATTTCTAAAAGAAAAATTTTACCAAATTATTGATGGCTTTGAATAAGCACTGGAATGTGAAGTTATTTCCGCAGATGTTAATATAGTTAGTTGGGGTTGTCTGAGGAACAATTGCTGAGCATCCATTGGTTGAAATCCAGAATTAATCTCTGGTATGAATATGTGTCTGGTGCATTAAGGAAGCATGAGCAAAATCATAAAAGGAAAGCCACTTTTCTGCCAAACAGCAATAAGTCAATTAAAACTTTTTGCCTTAATGCAGGTATCATATATGTGCTGAATATATAGGTTGTAATATGAGTTAAAAGTCACTCAGAACACTTTCTTGAAAGTATAAACCAACAAGAATGCCCTAAATTAGAGTCAGGGATGTGGCAAAATGAGGAGATGGCAGAGTAGTTTTAGACTTGTCCTATAATTATGTGAAAGCATATACAAATTAGCAAATGTATGGAGTAAGGGGGAGGAAAGCCCACAGATAATTAGATGAAATTTTTTTTCAGAGAGGTAGTCCATGTAAGATGACCACCGCAATACCTGCCTGTTACCATGATAGGCTTAGGTTTTTAGAGCCATTCTTCACAACTGCACCACTACCACACACAAAACTCCCCCTTGTTAGAATCAGGGAGACCACAAAATCAAGTGAAAGTACCCACAATGTCAATAGACTTTCAAGATATTGCTAAAGTATAGAACAATATAGCTTGATATCAATTGTTAATATATGGAAATAACTGTTGGCTTTTGGTTTTAGTACAATGAACAAGGAGAAGGTAAAGATCAATAGAAATGAAGATGAGGCATTTCACTTTGAACAAGTTCACTTAGAGTGAGTGGGAAATTGCTAAGTGCAAATGACTAACATTTCAAGAGATCATATTAGAAAGGTACACTTTGAAATAATCACAGTTCAAATGCTAAACCAAAGTCACAGGATTTAGTCAATTCCCAGGGAGAAAACACAGAAAAGCAGAGAAGAGGATATAGGGATGAAATGTGAGAAACGTCAATGTTATGAAGCTGAGTAAGGGAAGAGGGACTTGTAAAGCAGAGGGAAAGCAGAAGGGAAAACAAAAGCTAGGAGGTGGATACGGTACAATGTGTGTAGAACAGTGATTTTTAACCACTGTGCCACAAGAATTTTAAAACATGCAGTACCTGACTGTTTAGTTGGGGCACTGAGTTCCTTTCCCTTAGACTGTCAAATAAAAAAAAAATGAAAACAGCCAACACAACAACAGCCATTGGTGTGAATGAATTAAGACCATATCTTTTTTAGTCAAATTGGCAGAATAGATATATATTTTTGGTGTGCTGTAGAATTTTAGTAATTAGTTTATGTGTGCCATGAGATGAAAAAGTTGAAAATTGCTAGTAGAACATCATAAGAAGAAAGGAATAATTAACAGTGCCAAATGCAAGAAATAAAATGGCTACACTTCATGAAAACTTACAGAAATAACAATTAAACTTTCCAGGAGTAGTTTCAGTGAAGTGGTGTGTTCACCTTGTGTCATAACCACCGTTATGTGTTTACAGTTTATCCAGGGGGGAAAAACGCTTCAACAGGAAGTACAGAGAAAATGGCTACACTTCACTGAGAGTTAAAGAAATACCAGTTAAACTTGTAAGACTCGTTTCAGTAAGGTGGTGTTTTCAGAAGCCATGTATATTCTAAATAGTTGAGGGGTCATTTGGAAGTCAAAAAGTAGAGAAAATTATTGAAAGCTAAGGTTGGAAGCTAGATTGGAGATTGTATTTAATCCTTATAGAGCCTACTATAATATCAGTGATAACAAGGAGTCTAAACATTTCAGTCAAACTTCAGATTGAATTATAAAATGTTAAGGATACTGTTCTTCAGCTGTGTACAGACATCTCCTCAATTATTTGTGAATTTGTTGTATATCAAAACGCTCTCTGTGTTCTGCATGAAAGTGAACAATCAGTGAATATCAGATGAAGGCATAAACAACTTGAGAACGTCATGGGGAAGATCTAGGAAAGGATTTTTTATGTATTAGAAATATCTTTGTAGATGAATTTCTGGTTTGATCATGGCAGTGGGACAGAGTCCTCAATGCTTTGGCAGATTAACACAGAAACAACTAGTGTCATAAGCGCCCCTCATGTGTTTACAATTTATCCAGGGGAAAAAAGTGTCAAGCAGATAATGAAATAGTAACATTTTGGTTAGTGATAGGGGAAAAGTTCTTAGGGAAAAAAGTATACCCTAAAGATCATAATTTCATTGCTCCCAGGGAACAAGTGTACTATGAGCAAATCTATTCCAAAGACTAAATAAAAAAGTAAATATTTGAAAAACTCCTGGAAAAATTATGTTTTACTTGGATTATATCACTTAAAGAATCCCTGAGAATTTATTGTTTTTTCAAATACAGGTCATGACAATTAGTAGACTATAAAATCAAATTGGTGATATTTGTATGTATTTTTGATGAGATAAATTAGAATAGGAAACATTAGAGAGCAGGGCATCTAAGGATTAATATTTCATTGGAATCTTTGTTTTAGGTGTGTGTGTGTGTGTTTAAGTGTGAACAGTGCACTGCAATATAAAATTAGACCTTACCATGTGTTGTACTAAAAAATGTTTGAAGGCCAGTTTTCTAACTTGTCAAATGATATGTCAACAGTGCTGAGAGCATGAAGTATTTAAAATATTATCAAGGAAAACCAATCTATGTAAAATATATTTCTTGGCCTTTGTAAACAAAATCCATTGTAAAACTCTTCCCACTCTCTTCTCAGATCTTACCTCCCTCAGTTTTACCAGCAAATTGGACAGAAGGTAGGAATCAGAAATGAGAAACCATACGTCAATAACCAGATTCATCCTCTTGGGACTGACAGATGACTCACAACTGCAGATTCTGATTTTTTTATTTCTACTTATCACCTACACGCTGAGTATAACTGGAAATCTGGCCATCATCATCCTCACATTAGTGGATTCTCACCTTAAAACTGCAATGTACTTTTTTCTCCAAAATTTTTCCTTCTTAGAAATCTCATTCACTTCTGCCTGCATTCCTAGATTCTTGTACAGCATATCAACAGGTGACAGGACTATCTCCTATAATGCTTGTGAATGCCAATTATTTTTCACAGATCTTTTTGGAGTAACAGAGTTTTTCCTTCTGGCCACCATGTCTTATGATCGCTATGTGGCCATCTGCAAACCCCTGCACTACGTGACCATCATGAACCACAGGGTCTGCAGAAGGCTCATGTTCTGCTGTTGGATGACCGCATTGTTAATCATATTGCCACCATTTAGCTTGGGACTGGGCCTGGAATTCTGTGACTCTAACGCCATTGACCACTTTTTGTGTGATGCTAATCCTATAGTGAAGATTTCCTGCTCAGATACCTGGTGCCTAGAGCAGATGGTTATTGCCTGTTCTGTGTTGACCTTCATCATGACTCTAATATGTGTGGTTTTGTCCTACGTGTGTATTATTAGAACAATTCTGAGATTCCCCTCTGTCCAGCAAAGGACAAAAGCCTTTTCTACCTGTTCTTCCCACATTATTGTGGTTTCTATCACCTATGGCAGTTGCATCTTTGTTTATACCAAACCTTCAGCAAAAGATGAGATGGCTGTTAATAAGAGAGTATCAATACTCACTACTTCTATTTCCCCCATGTTAAACCCATTTATTTATACTCTGAGGAACAAACAAGTGAAACAAGCCCTTAATCACTTAGTCAAAAGAATAATATTGCTTTTAAAGAACTAGGGGAGTGTTCAAGTCCAGATCCCCAAGCAGTTTTCTTGTTTCTACCCTATTGGGTTTCTTCTTGATGTAGATTTGGCCTACCATTCAGCAATGACCCTGATCAAGTCACCCTTGCATTTCCTTATAGACCAGCCTCTTTGAGAATAATTTTTATTAAGGAAAATGAGAGTAGTTATTTCAGGAAATCTAACCATGATCTCACTCTCAACCTTTATTTACTAATGCTGAAAGAATTGGAAAACTTATCATAAAATATTGGTGCAATAGTGCACATTACTATTCAAAACAAAACTACTCAAATAAGTGGAGAAATAATGTTAAAGAGAATGAATATCATTTGTAAGTGTAATAAGGAAAACATTTAAAAATCCCAAAGTATATTTTAAAACAAAGAATAAGTAGAAAAATTTAGGATTTCAAAAAAAGCATTTACTAACAAAGAATCTTTAAAATCACAGGATCATATATTTTATTGAATGGATCCAATCCAGTATAAAAGTTATTTGAAAATTGCCAAAGGGACATGAATCAAGTTAAAATGAAAAGACTAATGCACTGATAATTCCTGGTAAAGACATGAAACTTGCATTAAAATTTTATAAAATAGATCACTACTGATGTATCAATTACAATGTTAAAACTTGAATGCAGATAGCAAGAATGCAGTAACTTTATGTATAATCAAGTATTATTTCCAACTAGTGCAGAGCATCTGTTGTTTTGCTTTTCCTTTTGTTCCACTTCTTGGTTCCAAAGGTATGAATGATTTACTATGTATTTGTAATGTTTTCCAATATTAAACAACTCATATTATTCTTAAAAAAACTTGAATGTAGAAAATTCATTTATTTGTTCTAATTTTATTTTTTAGTTAAATTTATTGGGGTGACATTGGGTAATAAGATTATATAGGTTTCAAGCACACATTTCTATGATACAGGATCTGCATTGTGTGTGTACCATCCAAAGGCGAAGAAACTTTCATCACCATGTATTTGACACCCTTCACCCTTTACTGATCCCCTACCTCCTTCTTTCCTGTAGCCACCATACCATTGTCTGTGCAGCAGTTTTGTTTTTCTTGTTGTTCATTTATTGCTTTCAGTTTTATGAATCAGATCATATGGTTGTTAACTTTTTGTCTTATTTTGCTTAGCATATTTTCAGGAACCATCCATGTTGCTCCAAATGTCAGTATTTCATCTTTCTTGTGGCTGAGTACTATTTCAGTATATATATATGTACTACCTCTTCTTTATTTTTATTTTGCTTTATTTTTAAATTTGTTTTTTATTTTAATCATTGTTCAAATACAGTTTTCTGCTTTTTACTCCCAATCCAGCACCCCCTCCCATCCCCTCCCCACCTCCCTCCCACCACCCCCCTACCCTTAGTTTTTGACCATGTGTCCTTTAAGTGTGTTCCCGTGAGCCCTTCCCAATGTCCCCTGAAATTCCCTCTACTCTCTCCCCTGTGGGCACTGTCAGCCTGTCCTCTATTTCAGTCTCTTTGGTTATATTTTGCTTGTTTCTTTGTTTTGTTGTTTAGGTTCCTGTTAAAGGTGAGATCATATGGTATTTGAATTTCACTGCCTGGCTTGTTTCGCTTAGCATAATGTTTTCCAGCTCCATCCATGCTGTTGCAAAGGGTAGGAGCTCCTTATTTCTTTCTGCTGCATAGAATTCCATTGTGTAAATGTACCATAGTTTTTTGATCCATTCATTTACTGATGGGCATCTTGGTTGCTTCCAGCACTTAGCTATTATAAATGGTGCTGCTATGAACATTGGGATGCATAGGTTCTTTTGGATTGGTGTTTTAGTATTCTTAGGATAGAGTCCCAGCAGTGGAATTGCAGGGTCAAAAGGCAGATCCATTTTTAGTTTTCTGAGGAAGTTCCATACTGCTTTCCATAGTGGTTGTACCAGTCTGCAGTCCCACCAACAGTGCGCTAGGGATCCCTCTTCTCCACAACCTCTCCAACACTTGTTGTTTGTTGCTTTGTTTATGATGGCCATTCTGACTGGTGTGAAGTGCTATCTCATTGTGGTTTTAATTTGCATCTCTCTGATAGCTAGCGATATTGAACATTGTTTCATGTGTCTTTGGATTTTCTGTATGTCCTCCTTTGAGAAGCACCAACTTACACCATATACAAAAATAAATTCAAGGTGGGTAAAAGACTTAAATATAAAACGTGACACCATTAAAGTCCTAGAGGAGAACGTAGGTAGGAAAATCTCAGATATTTCACGCATAAACTTTTTTACTGACATGTCTCCTAGAGCAAGGGACATAAAGGAAAGAATAAACAAATGGGACCTCATCAAAATTAAAAGTTTTTGCACAGCTAAAGAAAACAGTATCAAAATAAAAAGAGAACCAACTGTATGGGAAAACATATTTGCCAATGATACCTCAGACAAGGGTTTAATCTCCAAAATATATAAAGAACTTACACGACTGCACTCTAAGAAGACAAGGAATCCAATTAAAAAGTGGGCAAAGGACTTGAACAAAATTTCTTTTTCCCTAAGTATTGCGGGCATGCAACAGCATATTCCTTTCGGGTGTACAACACGGCCATTCTATATTCACAGTGCCTATGACGTAGTCACAGCACAAAGTCTGTTGGTTAGAAACTTGTACCTGTCTTCCCCTTCCCAAAAGCAAAACTAAACAAAATAACAAAACAGAAAGTGCGCAAACCTGTGTCACACTGTCATCGCAGTGATTGCCCTTTCCATCACTGTCTGTCCTACAGGGAAGTTTGGAGGGGCCTGCGGCAGGGGCAACACAAACCACCCCAGTAGAGTCTCTCCACTGCAGAGCAGAGGGCGCGGGCTTCGCCTCATTCAGGGAACCGTTTTCCTAGCGTGGAGCCCTATGTTGGTCTTTAGGGGAGGAGTCTGTCCTTGGTGCAGCCGAGGTCCCGGTCCGGGGGCCTTGGGACTGCAGGGAAAGAAAGAAAGGAGCCAGATGGGCAGGTTCCCAAAGAAAGTCCGCTTCCTGCAGGGGCTCCTGGGCTCCGGATCAGAGGGGCTGGGAGTTCCCCGCCCGCCTGGCAGTCAGGAGCCATCCCTGCCTCTTCTTTATTCAGTTACCTATTGAAGGACACTGATTTTTCCACGTGTTCTTCATCTGAATAATACTGCACTGAACATAGGAATAGGAGTACACATATCTTTGTGAGTAAATGCTTTCAAAGTTTTCAGGTAGACGCTCAGATGATACGTTGCTGGGTCATATGGTAACTCTACTCTTAATTTTTTGAGGAAGCTTTATACTGCTTTGCATGGTGGCTGTAGAGATTTACATTCCCACCAGCAGTGAATGAGGGTTCCTTTTCCTCCACCACTTCTCCCACACTTGCTATCACTTGTCTTGTGGATGACAGCCATTCTAACAGAGGTGAGGTGGTTTCTCATTGTAGTTTAGATGAACATTTTCCATAACAGCTAGGGAAGTTGAGCATCTTTTCATATATCTGTTGGCTATTTGTATGTCTTCTTGGATGAAGTGCCTGTTCAGGTCCGCTGGCCATTTTTTAATTGAATTCTTTGTGTGTTTGGTGTTGAGTTGTATGAGTTTTTTATATATTTTGGATATTAACCTCTTGTCAGATCAATTGTTTGCAAATATCTTCTCCCATTTAGTTGGTTGCCTTATTGTTTTGTGGCAGTTTCTTTTGCTGTGCAGAAGCTTTTTGTTTGATACAGTCCCATTCATTTGTTTTTGTCTTTATGGCCCTTGTCTTGGGGGTAAAATTCCTAAAATTCTCTCTAAGACCAAGGTCCTTAAGTTTAGTACCTATGTTTTCTTCCATGTAATTTATTGTTTCAGATCTTATCTTTAGGTCTTTGTCCCATTATGAATCAATTTTTGCATATGGGGACAAACTATAGTCTAGTTTTATATTTTTGCATGTGGCGTTCTCTTTTTCCTAGCACCATATGTTGAAAGGGCTTTCTTTTCACTATTGTATATTTTTGGCTCCTTTGTCAAAAATTATTTGCCTCTGTACATGTGGCTTTATTTCTGGGTTCTCAATTCTGTTCCAGTGATCTGTGTGTCTGCTTTTCTGCCAATACCATATCATTTTAATTGTTGTCACTTTGTAGTATAATTTGAAGTCAGAGAATGTGATACCTCTAGCTTTGTCCCTTTTTCTCAGGATGGCTTTGGTTATTTGGGGTTGTTTGTGGTTCTATACAAATCTGATAATATTTTTGCCATTTCTTGAAAAAAAACAGAAGCAGTGCTGGCTGGTAAAGCTCAGTGGATTGAGCACGGGCTGCGACTGGAAGGATCACTGGTTCGATTCCCAGTCAGGGCACATGCCTGGGTTGCAGGCTGGGTCCCCAGTGGGGGTCATGTGAGAGGCAACCATACATTGGTGTTTCTCTCTCTTTCTTCTTCCCTTCCTCTCTCTCTAAAAATAAATAAATAAAAACCTTAAAAAAGAGAACTGAATCTTAAAAAAAAAACTATTAACGCCCCCCCACCCCCTGAAACACTGAAATAAAGAACAAACTGACAGTAATCAGAGGGCAGGAGTGAGAGAGATAATGGGGGAAAATACTTTTGAGACTGGCAGTTTCTTCCTCTGCTGCAACTCCCATAGGTTTTTACTGTCAGAGTTTTTGAGGTTGTTATTTCCCAGTGCTGGAACTCTGGATTGTGTGGTCTATCTCACTCTCCAGTTGCTCTTCTTGGCTTATCCACATGCAAATGTGGGACTGCCTGGACCACCATCTGTCATATCACCCTCCTGTTCTGCCAGCCACTGCCTTGCTGCACATCCTCTCTGCCCTAGCTGTCCATCTCCATCCCTCCCACCAATCTGAATGAATGTTTCTTGTTTAATTTCTTGGTTATTTGACTCCATACAGTTCAATTTTCTGGCAGTTCTGGTTGTTTTTTATTTGGAATTGGTTGTTATCCTTCTTTTGGTTGCATACAGAAGCAAAGAAGATCTCTCTACATACCCATCTTGTCCT